AAGCATTAAAGAGTTTACTACCAGCTAATGTTCCCCATATTCCCCCAACTATTGTCATAGCATAGTTTATATAACACATAACGTTTTCTTATAGTAAACATTGATATTGTAGTTTAATTCTATGTGATTGTAACGCTGTAATGGTAGAATGTCAATTGTATCTATATACCAATATCAATTATGCTTTGTTTTATTATTGAAATGTATTGTTGTACAATTACAGACTTTTGAACTGTATAAAAAAGGCTTCACTCATACACCAAATAAACTTCATCAAATCTAAACAGCTGTCTTGAATATATTTTCAGCACTACCAAAGTCAACTTTACTAAAAACAAAAATCAACCAACAAACCTGTATGAAATAAACACACACATATATATAAACACACATTGTAAGAAAGTATTTTACTGAGGTAATTGTGACCACATAAAACAACCCATCCCTTAGATTACCTCGTACACATACTTTAGTATCAGAAACGAAGTTTGTAAAACATGCAAGGCCCTCTTTAGTGAGGTAAGAATGAAAAACATTGACTTAATATTCAATCTTAAATCTTAGTCTGGTTTGATCATTGATTTTCAACCTAACCAGCATTATAAGTGGATCCCTAATCAATGATCAAACCAGACTAACATTAATGTAAAAGAATATAAAAATGTTTGACGCAATACAATACAAATGTATATTGCTTCATGCAAAAATACAAATTAAATCTGAGTAATCTTGTCAATTTGACCTTGATAACCCTCAGTCTCCAATGATCTTCTGACAGCCAATTGTCCAGCAAGATGTGATGCCATGAATATCCTCTTTGTGGAATAATTTGAGGTTCTTATATACCGCTTTATCGTAACCCAGTTTATAGGTCATCTCAAAGTGGTTCACAAATTCTTATCCGTGGTTATAGGGCCTTTGCAACCAACCATTATCTTTCTCAACTCTCTATGGAGCATACAACTCTGCTATTTCGGCGCTCGCAGCTAGCATTAAACAATCCCAGCACTGCCCAACTATGTACTCATTTACAGCTAAGTAGACTAGAACAAGTGAAGTGAATAAAAGTATCTTGTTCAAAGATACAACGCAGTGCCGTACTGTAACATAGAGCTGCAGTTTCTCTATATATAATACTACAGACACAGGATGCTGCCATTGTATATATTACTACAGACACAGGATGCTGCCATTGTATAAAATACTACAGACACAGGATGCTGCCATTGTATAAAATACTACAGACACAGGATGCTGCCATTGTATAAAATACTACAGACACAGGATGCTGCCATTGTATAAAATACTACAGACACAGGATGCTGCCATTGTATATATTACTACAGACACAGGATGCTGCCATTGTATATAATCCTACAGACACAGGATGCTGCCATTGTATATATTACTACAGACACAGGATGCTGCCATTGTATATAATACTACAGACCCAGGACGCTGCCATTGTATATAATACTCGGACATAAGCCGCTGCCATTGTATATAATACTACAGACATAGGAGGCTGCCATTGTATATAATACTACAGACACAGGATGCTGTCATTGTATATAATACTACAGACATGGGGCGCTGCCTTTGTAAGGTAGAGCTGCAGTTTCTCTATATATAATTCTACAGACATGGGACGCTGCCTTTGTATATAATACTACACACACAGGACGCTGCCATTGTATATAATACTACAATAGGATGCTGCCATTGTATATAATACTACAGACCCAGGACGCTGCCATTGTATATAATACTCGGACATAAGACGCTGCCATTGTATATAATACTACAGACATAGGCCGCTGCCATTGTATATAATACTACAGACATAGGACGCTGCCATTGTATATAATACTACAGACACAGGATGCTGTCATTGTATATAATACTACAGACATGGGACGCTACCATTGTAAGGTAGAGCTGTAGTTACTCTATATATAATACTACAGACATAGGACGCTGTCATTGTATATATTACTACAGACATGGGACGCTGCCTTTGTATAATACTACAGACATGGGACGCTGCCTTTTGTAAGGTAGAGCTGCAGTTTCTCTATATATAATTCTACAGACATGGGACGCTGCCTTTGTTAGGTAGAGCTGCAGTTTCTCTATATATAATACTACAGACATAGGATGCTGCCATTGTATCTAATACTACAGACATGGGCCGCTGCCTTTGTAAGGTAGAGCTGCAGTTTCTCTATATATAATACTACAGACACAGGATTCTGCCATTGTATATAATACTACAGACACAGGATGCTGCCATTGTATATAATCCTACAGACACAGGACGCTGCCATTGTATATAATACTGCAGACATGGGACGCTGCCATTGTATATAATACTACAGACACGGGACGCTGCCATTGTATATAATACTACAGACATGGGACGCTGCCATTGTATATAATACTACAGACATAGGATGCTGCCATTGTATATAATACTACAGACACAGGACGCTGCCATTGTATATAATACTCGGACATAAGACGCTGCCATTGTATATAATACTACAGACATAGGACGCTGCCATTGTATATAATACTACAATAGGATGCTGCCATTGTATATAATACTACAGACACAGGACGCGGCCTTTGTTAAGAATAGCTGTAGTTACTCTATATATAATACTACAGACACAGGACGCTTCCATTGTATATAATACTCGGACATAAGCCGCTGCCATTGTATATAATACTACAGACATGGGACGCTGCCTTTGTAAGGTAGAGCTGCAGTTTTTCTTTATATAATACTACAGACATAGGACGCTGTCATTGTATATAATACTACAGACATTGGACGCTGCCTTTGTTAGGTAGAGCTGTAGTTCCTCTATATATAATACTACAGACACAGGACGCTGTCATTGTATATAATACTACAGACCTGGGACGCTGCCATTGTATATAATACTACAGACAGGGGACGCTGCCTTTGTAAGGTAGAGCTGCAGTTTTTATTTATATAATACTACAGACATAGGACGCTGTCATTGTATATAATACTACAGAGATGGGACGCTGCCTTTGTATATAATACTACAGACATAGGACGCTGCAATTGTATATAATACTACAGACATGGGACGCTTCCTTTGTATATAATACTACAGACATGGGACGCTGACATTGTATATAATACTACAGACATAGGACGCTGTCATTGTATATAATACTACAGACCTGGGACGCTGCCATTGTATATAATACTACAGACACAGGACGCTGTCATTGTATATAATACTACAGAGATGGGACGCTGCCTTTGTATATAATACTACAGACATGTGACGCTGCCTTTGTAAGGTAGAGCTGCAGTTTCTCTATATATAATACTACAGCCACAGGACACTGCCATTGTATATATATATAATACTACAGACAGGGGACGCTGCCTTTGTAAGGTAGAGCTGCAGTTTCTCTATATATAATACTACAGCCACAGGACACTGCCATTGTATATATATATAATACTACAGACAGGGGACGCTGCCTTTGTAAGGTAGAGCTGCAGTTTCTCTATATATAATACTACAGACATAGGACGCTGCCATTGTATATAATACTACAGACACAGGATGCTGCCATTGTATATAATACTACAGACATGGGACGCTGCCTTGGTAAGGTAGAGCTGCAGTTTCTCTATATATAATACTACAGACACAGGACACTGCCATTGTATATATATATAATACTACAGACATGGGACGCTGCCTTTTGTAAGGTAGAGCTGTAGTTACTTGATATATGATACTACAGACATGGGACGCTACCTTTGTATATAATACTACAGACATGGGACGCTGCCTTTGTATACAATACTACAGACTTGGGACGCTACCTTTGTTAGGTAGAGCTGTAGTTACTCTATATATAATACTACAGACATGGGACGCTACCTTTTGTAAGGTAGAGCTGCAGTTTCTCTATATATAATACTACAGACATAGGACGCTGCCTTTGTATACAATACTACAGACATGGGACGCTACCTTTGTTAGGTAGAGCTGTAGTTTCTCTATATATAATACTACAGACATGGGACGCTCCCTTTGTATATAATACTACAGACATGGGACGCTGCCATTGTATATAATACTACAGACACAGGATGCTGCCATTGTATATAATACTACAGACATGGGACGCTACCTTTGTATATAATACTACAGACATGGGACGCTACCTTTGTTAGGTAGAGCTGTAGTTACTCTATATATAATACTACAGACATGGGACGCTGCCATTGTATATAATACTACAGACATGGGACGCTGCCTTTGTTAGGTAGAGCTGTAGTTACTTTATATATAATACTACAGACATGGGAAGCTGCCTTTATATAATACTACAGACATGGGACGCTGCCTTTGTTAGGTAGAGCTGTGGTCCCCTATGTATAAGGGCCCTATAGGCGTCTGACTGTCTACAATCACTAGCCCTCCACCACTGGGACGCTGCCTTTGTTAGGTAGAGCTGTAGTTACTCTATATATAATACTACAGACATGGGACGCTGCCTTTGTTAGGTAGAGCTGTGGTCCCCTATGTATAAGGGCCCTATAGGCGTCTGACTGTCTACAATCACTAGCCCTCCACCACTGGGACGCTGCCATTGTATATAATACTACAGACATGGGACGCTGCCTTTGTATAATACTACAGACATGGGACGCTGCCTTTGTATAATACTACAGACATGGGACACTGCCTTTGTTAGGTAGAGCTGTAGTTTCTCTCTATATAATACTACAGACATGGGACGCTGCCTTTATATAATACTACAGACATGGGACGCTACCTTTGTTAGGTAGAGCTGTGGTCCCCTATGTATAAGGGCCCTATAGGCGTCTGACTGTCTACAATCACTAGCCCTCCACCACTGGGACGCTGCCATTGTATATAATACTACAGACATGGGACGCTGCCTTTGTATAATACTACAGACATGGGACGCTGCCTTTGTATAATACTACAGACATGGGACACTGCCTTTGTTAGGTAGAGCTGTAGTTTCTCTCTATATAATACTACAGACATGGGACGCTGCCTTTATATAATACTACAGACATGGGACGCTACCTTTGTTAGGTAGAGCTGTGGTCCCCTATGTATAAGGGCCCTATAGGCGTCTGACTGTCTACAATCACTAGCCCTCCACCACTGGGACGCGGCTTTGAGGCCTAGCTGGGGCTGTTGCCAGGCACTGGCCACAGCTCAGTGTCTTTCTCTTTCATCTACCACCAAAACCTGGCTCGTTGTATATAATGCTACAGACATAGGATGTTGCCATGGTTTGGTAGCTTCTTCTTTCTTGGACTTGTCACCTAAACAACAACTTGTCCTATATATATATATATTAGTTGGATCTGTCTTGTAATCGCTACCTTCTCATTCACCCCTGAAATTTCATAATGAACTATACCAACTTTTGAATTGGAAGAATTCAAATGTGTCTCCTGGGGTGAATGAGTCAATTGGTATTGGTACTGTGGTAGAAGGTAGTTTTTTAGGTTGACTACTTGGTCAGGAATCATTACTGGTGAAATGTCTCGTTTCTCCATGTGACATAGTAATAAACTCCTGTAGAGGAATGGTGTTTCTCTCCAACTCTTCTTTTAATTTGGTTCTTGGCTCCAGATAGAACTGAAACATATAAAGATATATTACAGGTAATAATTGACATTAACAATATATGTCTTTCACATGGTATAAAATAGTTCTTTAACTCATTCACCCCTGAAATTTCATAATGAACCATTCCATCCTTTGAACTGGAAGAGTTCAAATGTGTCTTCAGGGGTGAATCATTAATTTAATGCTTGATTGAATAGTGTAACATACAGGTATGACTCCCAATAATATCCGTGTTAACAATACCAAAGTCTGCTTACCTCGGTGGTCAGTTTGAAGGTACCCCAATGAATTCCTACAGAGTTTTCAGACCGTATCATCTTGTGTATCTGGACGGCCTCTTCTGGATTAATGTGGCTCATCTTCATAAACCACCTGGAGCAGGAAACAAGGTGAATAAAATGCCAGTGACAGTGATGTTTTTAAGTAAAAGCAATAATTTAAGCTTGTAAAATCTATATCTTGCAGGAAGGGACTTTTAAGCTTTGACTTTTAATACCAAAAAGTTGAAATACCTTTTCAAAAGCATAATGTTCATCAATTCCTTGTGGTTGTCACACCAAAAAATCTTTTAAGTTCCATTTTATGGCAGGAACAAGGGAAGAATGCATCTGCTCTTTGGGCAATTGACAAGTGTTAACATGGTTTGTAGACCCCCTTTAACCCTTTCACCACTGTGTACCATAATAGACTCCTCCAGATCAATGCATGGTAGAGTTTAATAAAGTTACATAGGGGTGAAAGGGTTAATGTCTGCTGTAATGATTTTCTTGCAGTTTTCCCACAGCACATAGGCACTTACAGAAACAGCTGCTGAAGTAAAAATTTGCCTGCTGTATAATCTTGGTTCAAAGGCCTCTATAAGCATGGCTGTCAGTATCAAGACTGGCTTGCAGTCCTACCTTTGCTCATAGGCCCCTATACAAATGGCTCTCAGTACAAAGATAAGCTTGCAGTCTTGCTTTGGTTCATAGGCCCCTATTCGAATGGCTTTCGATACCAAAATCGGCTTGCAGTCACCTTAAATCATAGGACCTTATAGGAATGGTTTTCTGTACAACAAGCAGCTTGCAGTCTTACCTTGGTTCATAGGCCCCTATAGGAATGGCTGCCAAGGTAAAGGGACCATAAAGATGACCAATTTGAGAGAAGACCTCACAATAGGCGGTATCTCCGACAAAGTAAAAACTGCTGTCTCCCTTTCTTACTACCCATCCACCCCACAATACCTGTAAAACATACAATATTGCCTTGAAAACATATGAAATATATAAACATTGAGATACCTATTTAGTACTTCAGATCTATTAGAGACTTGAAATAAAGGATTTAATAGTACTATACTAATACAACAGTTGAATAGATGTATTAAGAAAATTTATTAACAAAAGTGTTTACCACTTACTTTATTGGTATCATCAATGCCTCTCTTACACCAGTGCTGTGAGGGGACAAATGTGAAGGTTGTGCCGTCTCCCAGGGGCGACAACTCTTCCTCCCACCAGATAAATTCCCTGACATTGTTGCAGCCACATCGATGAAACCATTTCTTAAGTCCCATTGGGGTCAGCCATCGCAGGCTCCGGCCAAACCTGCGATTTAACCGAGCGACTGACCAAGAGTCAAGGTGGTCATAATGGTTATGGCTGATCAACACAGCATCTATATGAGGAAGGTCCTCAATTGTCATGGCAACAGGACGGTACCGTTTAAAGCTGTTTGGTGACAGGCTTGGGATAGGAAAGGTTGTGTCTCCAAATACAGGGTCAGTTAATATGTTAATGCCGTTCATTTGAATTAGGAGACTGGCATGTCCGAGCCATGTTGCCTGGATACCAGTGGCCGGTGGGTCAGCCAGGGATGCTGGATTAGGTTTTAGCACTGGCAGTGTTCTGTCCAATTCCTATAAATAATATAAACAGTAACTGTATACTAGGAAACTTTTGCCCTGTCAAATTTTCGCCCTTCACTGGTAGAGTCCATTTTCCCACAGTGTTAGTTTCCCCCTTCACTGGTAGAGTCCATTTTCGTGCAGTGTTAGTTTTGCCTTTCACATATTATTGCCAAGTATAGTATATGTTGTATACTTATTTTCACTGTCGTGATAAATTTGCCCTCATTAAGGCAGGCGAAAAGGCAAAAGTTAAACTGCAGCAAAGTCTTCTCAACAACTTCTTTGTTGACCATCTTTTGCACCATTTATATCAATCTAAATATCAATTCTAACACATATCGTTCTCAATTACAACACTTTCGATCATACCTGTGGGCTGGGTATAGAGCTGTGATCCTTCTCTTGCAAGACCTTTGTCAAACTACTAAATGAGGGCACTTGCCACGCCCTCCAAGGACTGACATACCGGCCATTCAGGTACAGTGGTTTGGCACATTCGAGTGACTCGACATCAGTCTTTGAAGACACTGATGCCAAACATCGCCAGAAACTGTAAAGAAATGAATTTTTCGTTATATCAGCTATGGTTTTAGACTGAGTGGTTAAGCTACTGTTCTGCTGTGCTGGCATCTGTGGTTCACTTCCCATACAATTTCCCAGACATATTTTTCTTTTACCTCAAAGGCAGGCATATCCATACCTTTTGGAGTGTGAGGTATCCTTGTCTCACCCTAGTCTTGTGATGAGGGGATTCCCTAGTCACAACAATTGTATGTCAATATCAACAATGCATTAACGTCAACATGCATTGCATATATGACTGGGCCAACAGGATTAGAAAAAAACATTTTCCAATCCCCCTGGGGTAAGATGCTGGGGGATCTCAAACCTCTGGAAATACCAACCTCTCAGCAAACGTCATGTTTGGCAACTTTAAGAATCTCTCCCCTTGGATTGAATAAAATCCCCCATCTCACCTTAAACCTTTCACCCCATGTCACTTTACTCTTTAGTAGTTCTACCATGCATTGATCTGGATGAGTCCAGTTTGGTCTACAGTACTAATGGTGGAAGGGTTAAAGGGTGTGAACAATTCTATTAATCTCCTTACTCTAACATAACATTCTTTGAGAAGAAAGTGAATATAATAATTTGGAGGTTTTAATTGTACATAAGGTATCACAGTCGCAATTACAATAATGAATTGTCCTAATCATGCTGGAATTTTATAAAGTCAATTGAATTATTTTTAATGTTATTTCAATATCCTGTCATCACTCGATACCATTTTTATAATGTTTCATTTTCAATAATAAAATATGAGCTAATTTCCCCATTTGACCCTGTGTTACTTTCATTTTGCCGACTGTCACTCTATACATGTATATAATTAAATTCACCCCATTTTAATGGATTTGAATTTTCCTGTTCATTATTGATCAGTGTAAGTAGATGGAATATATTTAGCAATTTTTTAATGCATTCTTCTGCATATTTTCATATCATGTAAGGAACGGCGTCGCGTAGACAATAAAGCTAAGCTTGTATTGCAATATAGGCCTAGATAACGTTACAACTTACGGTGATCAAAATACGGGGGTACCTATTTCCTATCACACCGGGCCAATCTGACTTACGTAAGATATACAATAGCGCTACTGATAGAAAATTTTGGTGTGTGGATCAACATAAACAGTTTTCGCTATTCAAAATTCTAAAATTGACCTGTTAATTTGTCTAAGGTACCGTTGAACGCATATTCGAGAGCCACCTCCAGCAAGCATGTTGACTCTTTCGGGCCCGTCTTCTTTGGACACTAAGACACATAGATAAAATCCGAAAATTCCGGAAGGAAGCCTACTTTCGGTTTGCGTCAGATCTGAGGTCGAAAAAGGGACGTCCGCTTACGCAATAGCAGACGTCTTTGGTAAGTTAGAGCAAAATTATTTTTTCCGTACATTTTATTGTCATTTTCAGTGAACACTGGTACTAGTCAATCGTAATCTTTCCTTTACCAGAATGGTAGTAAGAAAGGGGGAGCTAGGGTCATGCCCAAAGACTAATCCATACTAGATAATCAAAGTGTCACACGGCGAGATACGTTTGACAGGCGCCGCGTAACGTCGCAGCCGGCAAAAATCGTATCAGATAGAATAAAGACCGTTTAACTAAAGGGAAATTCCCTACAGCTGATGCTTGTAAGGCAACCTAACCAAGTTCAAGTTCAAGTTCTTTATTCACCAAAAGTCTTAAGACTTATACGTACAAACTAATCATGATACATTGTACATGTATATATGTTATAGGAGAGTGACTATAAGCATACAACTGCAAACTAAACAAAGAACATAATACAAAAGCACAAAAATTTATAAATACGTGTAGCTAATTAATCAATTTCGCCGCTTAGTGGCTAGATATAAATATTTACCTAGATTTGACAACTCTTTGACATTATTTACAGATAAAAGTTGGACAAGTTTGTAAACAGAGGGACTCTTATAATAATACTTCTTTATATAACCAATGCACATCTTTTACACTGGTATTTTTAGTGGAAAAATGGAATTCTGAAACCAAATTCAACTCGCCAAAATATACACGTGCAGTTCCTAAATCTTGTGGATGATACAGACTTAACTCAAATGGTCCATGAACCCACGGAATTCTAAGTCTGTGATGAACCAAACTAGAGTTAAAAATCCTTGACTTAGTGATTACCAACAATCCAAACCAAAGCCAACGAGGTTATGCCAGGTTTATCTGACCACGACATTGTCTTTGTTGATACCTATATATGTACCCCAAACAAAATCATCCAAAAGCCTTGAAATATCACACTCTATAGAAAAGCTCGGTGGGAAAATATGAAATCAGACTTAAATTCTCTGCATGACCACCGTATTAATAGTGTAATAGGAGAAAGAGAAAATATAACGGCAAGACCGGGGTTCGAACTCTAGACGGATACTCTACAAATTGAGCTACCTGGTCACCAACAATTGACCCAGTCTAGTTCCGCTACAATATAGTAACAAACCTACAGAAGAAATTTGGAAAATGTTAAAAAACACCTGTTCTATTTAACTTAACATCCAATCATTTTCTTTTTCAGAATGACTGAAAACATGGCCTCCGTGGATACAACTGAAAACATGGCCTCCGTGAATACAACAGACTCAAGAATAAACAAAAGCACAAGGACTAAGCCCTTATGTACCAATGGTGTTTACAAAAATCCCTGGAAGACATGGAAAGATCCTGATTTTGTACTTAAATTTATGTATAAAATGTTAATAGCTGAGAAAGACTGCAGTAATATTCCATGTAAAACACAAGTAAGGGTTTTTTTGTGACTCTTTATGACATAATTGATTGAGGGTGAAGTGTCTTATGTATCAACATTCTCCTTGACAATTTTTTTAGAACAGATTTTTCATTTACACCCCCCCCCCCGGTGTCTGTTGATATAAAATGCACAGCATAATAAAATGTTTCACCTTTCCATATAAGCAAAGAGACCATCTGTTTAATACTGAAGTCAAAGAAGCAAGCATGCTCATCTAATACTCTTTCCCACACATGTATACACACCTATCCACCTCCATTCAAAGTGAATATATACTGAATTCCAAATTTCACGAAGAAAAACTTGTAATTTTAAGGTCAGCATGCATATACATATTTTTGTATATATCAAATTCATATTGCTTTATTTTGTATCATTTACGCCTTGCATCAGTAAAACCAATTTTCGCCCAGTGATAATTTTGCCCTTTACATTTGATGACTATGTTTATGATATCTCTTACTACTGTTTGCTGTAATGATAAATTCGCTCTAATTGCGGAGGGTAAAAAAGGCGAAAAAGTAAACTGTGTTGAACATTTCCTTGAATACAGTTGTAAAAGATGTGGATTAATTAGGTTGTCTTACAAGCGTCAGTTGTGGGGAATTTTCCTTAAGCTCAGCGGTAGAGCATCGGGCTGGAGAGGCAAGGGTCGTAGGCTGGAGCCCCAGCGACGGCACTATCTTTATCACTATTTCTCGTCCTATTACAAATCGGTGCCGGTGACCCTTCCCGTTCAAAGTAGGATAACCATTGGCGGGGAGTCAAATAACCTGGGTTGGTGTTTGAAAGAAGGGGGGAATAGTGTAAAAGATGTGGATTAATTAGGTTGCCTTACAAGCTCAGCTGTGGGGGATTTCCCTTTAGCTCAGTGGTAGAGCATCAGGCTGGAGAGGCAAGTGTCGCAGGTTCGAGCCCCAGCGATGGCACTATCTTTATCACTATTTCTCGTCCTATTACAAATTGGTGCCGGTGACCCTTCCCGTTCAAAGTAGGATAACCATTGGCGGGGAGTCAAAGAACCTGGGTTGATGTTTGAAAAAAGGGGGGAATAGTGTAAAAGATGTAGATTAATTAGGTTGCCTTACAAGCTCAGATGTGGGGAATTTCCCTTCAGCTCAGTGGTAGAGCATCAGGCTGGAGAGGCAAGGGTCGCAGGTTCGAGCCCCAGCGACGGCACTATCTTTATCACTTTTCCTTGTCCTGTTACACAGTATTTTTGTCCTATTTTCCTAAAATGATGTCATGACAAATATACATTAATTGTTCAGTCTATTTGAATTGTATTTTTCTTTGGAACAGGAACTGGACAAACATTTACCAGTCCTAACGCCTGAGTTTGACCAGTTAGAGAATCCACCTAATTCAGGTGTCCAGGCCACATGGATAGGCCACGCTAGTGTACTGGTCCAACTGGATGGTATCACCGTACTGACCGATCCAATCTTCAGTGACCGATGCTCCATGGTTCAGTGGCTAGGACCAAAGCGATACCGCCCTCCCCCCTGCAAGGTTGATGATTTGACAGTTCTGGATGCTGTGGTGATAAGCCACAACCACTATGACCATCTTGACCACGGATCTGTGGTCAGTCTGAACAGAAAGTTTGGGGACAAGTTGTGGTGGTATGTTCCCATTGGAACAAGGCAGTGGATGCTTAATACCGGGTGTAAAAACGTTGTGGAACTGTCATGGTGGGAGGAACACCAACATTCTCCTAACCCAAACATAATGTTTGCTCTGACCCCAGCACAGCACTGGTGTAAACGGACGGCTACAGACACTAATAAGGTAAGTAGGTGTCAGTTTGGTGTGACAGCTACAGACACTAATAAGGTAAGTAGGTGTCAGTTTGGTGTGACAGCTACAGACACTAATAAGGTAAGTAGGTGTCAGTTTGGTGTGACAGCTACAGACACTAATAAGGTAAGTAGGTGTCAGTTTGGTGTGACAGCTACAGACACTAATAAGGTAAGTAGGTGTCAGTTTGGTGTGACAGCTACAGACACTAATAAGGTAAGTAGGTGTCAGTTTGGTGTGACAGCTACAGACACTAATAAGGTAAGTAGGTGTCAGTTTGGTGTGACAGCTACAGACACTAATAAGGTAAGTAGGTGTCAGTTTGGTGTGACAGCTACAGACACTAATAAGGTAAGTAGGTGTCAGTTTGGTGTGACAGCTACAGACACTAATAAGGTAAGTAGGTGTCAGTTTGGTGTGACAGCTACAGACACTAATAAGGTAAGTAGGTGTCAGTTTGGTGTGACAGCTACAGACACTAATAAGGTAAGTAGGTGTCAGTTTGGTGTGACAGCTACAGACACTAATAAGGTAAGTAGGTGTCAGTTTGGTGTGACAGCTACAGACACTAATAAGGTAAGTAGGTGTCAGTTTGGTGTGGTAGTTGCAGAGACCAATAAGGTAAGTAGGTGTAGTTGTCTGTCCCGTGTTTTTTCCTTACCAAAGTTATGTTCCCCGCGATCCGATGTTTGGTTTTCACAGGTTTTGCTATACATACCCTGTAATTCACAAAGATGTACTGTGTGTATATAATATTATGATTATGATGTTTTTGAATACATGTGTACATGTATATATAATACCACATTTATTTTAATATTAAAATGCTATTATTTATGAATCATTGGACCAAACTGTCGTTATAATTTATATATCTGTATACAATACCATATTATAATGAACAGTATACCTGGGTTGCAATATTTTATCACAAATGTATTTAATGATTTGTAGATTTTATTAAAGAAGCTACATTCAAGGACAAGAGATCAAAACATTCACTCTTGAATTTATTTTACCAAACTGGAGTAATTTGTACCGTAAGCGTTTCTGGATTGTTGAAACACCCGTAAAGTAAGGTTCCACTTTACTGAATATTGTTGATTTCCTTTTTAGGCTCTGTGGGGAAGCTGGGTCGTTAAAGGACCTAAACACAGCTTCTTCTTCGCTGGTGACACAGCATACTGTGAAGGCTTCAAAGAAATAGGGGAGGAGTACGGGCCATTTGATCTGTCTGCAATACCTATTGGTGCATACGCACCACGGTAGGTGATTTCTACCACATTTTACCTCATAATAATTAATGTGAAATATTTTATTTGTAATAATGTTGGACATGTATCTCTCCTGAGACAGCTGGTTGTCGTAACCAAAGACAGCTGGTTGTCGTAACCCAAGACAGCTGGGTGTCAGAATCCTAGATGGATGGGTGTCAGAACCCAAGACAGCTGGGTATCAGAATCTTAGACAGCTGGGTGTCACAACCCAAGACAGCTGGGTGTCACAACCCAAGACAGCTGAGTGTCACAACCCAAGACAGCTGGATGTAAGAATCCTAGATAGATGAGTGTCAGAACCCAAGACAGCTGGGTGTCACAACCAAATACAGCTGGGTGTCACAACCCAAGACAGCTGGGTGTCACAACCCAAGACAGCTGGGTGTCACAACCCAAGACAGTTGGATGTAAGAATCCTAGATGGATGAGTGTCACAACCCAAGACAGCTGGATGTAAGAATCCTAGATGGATGAGTGTCAGAACCCAAGACAGCTGGGTGTCAGAACCCAAAACCCAAGACAGCTGGGTGTCAGAACCCAAGACAGCTGGGTGACAGAATCTTGGACAGCTGGTTGTCATAATCTTAGACAACTGGGTGTCAGAATCTTAGACAGACATGTGTCAGAATCTTAGACAGAATTGTGTCAGAATCTTAGACAGCTGGGTGACACAACCCAAGACAACTGGATGTCAGAATCTTAGACAGCTGGGTGTCACAACCCAAGACAGCTGGGTGTCAGAACAAAAGACAGCTGGGTGTCAGAATCTTAGACGGATGGGTGTCAGAACCCAAGACAGCTTGGTGTCAGAATCTTAGGCAGCTGGGTGTCATAATCTTAGACAACTGGGTGTCAGAATCTTAGACAGATGTGTGTCAGAATCTTACACAGATGTGTGTCAGAATCTTGAACAGCTGGGTGTCACAACCCAAGACAGTTGGGTATCAGAATCTTAGACAGCTGGGTGTCACAACCCAAGACAGCTGGGTATCAGAATCTTAGACAGCTGGGTGTCACAACCCAAGACAGGGGGGTACATGGTGTTACCAATGTCCATTCTGTCCATTTCTACTCCATCACAATTCATCGTCACGATGCTGCCAACTTCACCTCTTAAACTTCATGTCTTAGAGTTAAAACAAAGATGAAGTCAAGGTCAACGTTTATAGATCAACCACAGGGCTTAGGGTGCAGCATTCATGCCTTCCAGACGTTTTCTAGTTTCTCTATACCTTGACAAAACAATGCATCTTGCATCTCAGTTTAAATAAGAGTTGTCCCCCCTTCATACTCCCCTGGTTAACTTATTCACCCCTGAAGGACATTTGAACTCTTCCAATTCAAAAGTTGGCATAGTTCATTATGGAATTTAAGGGGTGAATGAGTTAACACAACATTGATTATATCAATCACTCGGTTTCCTATTTGTTTCATCAAAGATTCATTAAAATATAACAGATATGTTACTTCAGACCCTATAACATTTTATGGACTGCACAGTCTCTCATAAAAGGAAAGTGGATGTCAGCTTAGAATCAGTCGATTGACTATTTTGATGATTTACTAATCCAAAACGTTTTTGTTGTTACATTTTAAACATACAGAAATATGTAATAAAGGTAAGTATAATAAAAGACCACTGTACATATGTTATCTATATCTTTGAACAGAACTTGCATCTACAAAAGTTAACTACAACAAATACAAATATAAAAATTCATACTGCTACATTGCTACATTAATTTTGAAATATTTCATGAGTGATTTAACTCTGAAGATTGTATCAAAAAAAGAAAAACAAAATGCTTGCAACTCCAATCATGTATCCATATTTAGTAGTCTGTCAATGAAATTCCATTTTTGATTTACAATATGCTGTTTTTTATTTGAATATGTACCAAGTCCACACTCTTCTACTTTTTTTTTATAAAAAAGCTTGTGAGTTTTCCATTCAGTAATTGTTCAGTCTAATCCAAAACTTGCTATATTATGATCATGATCAGCCCTGAAATATTTTGTATTTTTACTGTTTCTATTTATAATGTTACACTTTTTTTATTGTTCTTTAAAACTTAAAATATTTAAATATTGAACAGAATAATGTGACTTTTATATATCATTCAAAAAAAGAAGGAAACACAAATCAGTTACACTTAACTTTAAAAACATTTATTAAGATCATATCTTTTGTATATTTCTATAGAGTATGGCATTATCGATACTGCATAATTTCGTTTTGCTATGAGATCAAAGTACCTTTTTTATTTTTGTCATTCAGATATATTGTATATGATTCGTCACAGTTTTAAATTGAGGAAAGTGTAATGCTGCACGAAAAATTTGATTCTTCGTACAGGTCAGTGATGGCAGCCCAGCACGTGGATCCAGCAGAGGCTGTACAAATCCACACAGATGTCAAGTCAAGGAACTCCTTAGGGATCCACTGGGGAACCTTCAAACTTACATATGAGGTAATCATTGACAGAGAGACTAAGGGAAATGTTATACTAACCTTACATTATATATAGAGATTGAGGTAATCATTGACAGAGAGACGAAGGGAAATGTTATACTAACCTTACATTATATATAGAGATCGAGGTAATCATTGACAGAGGTTTGTCGATATTGAAAATAAATTAGGCAATCTTTTATACCGAGTTACTCAATGTAATCTTTGCGACAAAGGGAAACTAAATATATATTATGCTGTATAATCTACCAATGTAACCTTTACGACAAAGGGAAACTAAATATACATTATGCTGTACAAAGAAAACCTAAATATATATTATGCTGTATAATCTACAAATGTAACCTTTACGACAAAGGGAAACTAAATATACATTATGCTGTACAAGGATAACCTAAATATCTATTATGCTGTATAATTTGACTAACCATAGCAACAAAAAACAACTAAATATCTATTATGTTGTCAATCTACAAATGTAACCATAACGACAAAAAAATACTAAATATCTATTATGCTGTATAATTTTACTAATGTAACTATAGCGACAAAGAAAACCTAAATATCTATTATGCTGTATAATTTTACTAATGTAACTATAGCAACAAGGATAACCTAAATATCTATTACGCTGTATAATTTTACTAATGTAACTATAGCAACAAGGATAACCTTTATATCTATTACGCTGTATAATTTAACAAATCTTACTATAGTGACTAAGATAACCTTAATATCTATTATGCTGTATAATTTGACTAATGTAACTATAGCAACAAGGATAACCTAAATATCTATTATGCTGTATAATTTGACTAATGTAACTATAGCAACAAGGATAACCTAAATATCTATTATGCTGTATAATTTGACTAATGTAACTATAGCAACAAGGATAACCTAAATATCTATTATGCTGTATAATTTGACTAATGTAACTATAGCAACAAGGATAACCTAAATATCTATTATGCTGTATAATTTGACTAATGTAACTATAGCAACAAGGATAACCTAAATATCTATTATGCTGTATAATTTGACTAATGTAACTATAGCAACAAGGATAACCTAAATATCTATTATGCTGTATAATTTGACTAATGTAACTATAGCAACAAGGATAACCTAAATATCTATTATGCTGTATAATTTGACTAATGTAACTATAGCAACAAGGATAACCTAAATATCTATTATGCTGTATAATTTGACTAATGTAACTATAGCAACAAGGATAACCTAAATATCTATTATGCTGTATAATTTGACTAATGTAACTATAGCAACAAGGATAACCTAAATATCTATTATGCTGTATAACTTCATTAATGTAACTATTGCAACATCCTCAATATCTAGAATAGATAGTTAGGTGAGCGTAACCCCTGGATATTGAGGATGCTATAGCGACAAAGAGAACCGAAATATCTATTATGCTGTATTATCTAACCTTGACACAACTTCTTTCTTCATTAATTTAGTTTTATCTGGAACCACAGACTAGGCTGCCTGAAGAACTGAGGAAAGCTGACTTGTCTGAGGACTGTTTTGTAACTTTAAAACATGGAGAAACCAGAATATTTGGGGAATAACTTATTAATAATAATAGTAATGAAATCTCACCGTTTAAACTTGCTTCCTTGTTGTACGTTTCATTGTTACATTTTGATAAACTATGTGATCTATGTATCAATGCTCGTCCGTAGTGTCAGCCTCAGGGACAATGTTTTGTTTTAAATGCTGTGATAATAAACATAGAAAGCTACCATGTCATTATTGATTCATAGATTATTATACCTGCTGACGGTTTAAACAATGCTGTTGTTTTTCTATATCCATGCTTCGACCAAAGTCTGGGGTATATAGTATTCACCCTGTCTCGCCTGTCCGTGCTGACCGAGGTTTCTGGAGCATATCTCAGCCATGATTGGGCATCTAACTTCGTTTATAGATACGTCATTTGAAGGCTGTATGTTACATCCTAAAATGAGGTGACTGTGACCTCAATTTGACATTTGTCCTTGACCTCAAGTTCTTAAATAATGGTTTTCAGAGCATTTGTCAGCTGCTTTTTAATGAATGAGCATCACACTTTGTATGTAGATACATCATGGGGATGTGGTGTGTAACACCTGAAAACGAGGTCACGGTGACCTCAATTTAACATTTTTCCTTGTCCTCAAGTGCTTAAATAATGGTGCATATCTCAGCCACTGTTTCATGAATGATAGGTACAACATGGAAAGGCTGTGTGTTGCACCCTGGAACGAGGACACTGCGACTTCTTTGACCTTGACTTAAGTACTCTAACACAGTGTAATACAGGTTTCTGCAGCAAAGCTCAGCCGCTGTTTCATGAATAGATTTTGAACATTGTAGATATTTGGGGAGGGGGGTTTCCATGAAGTCCAATCATGGAGTTAATTTAATCTAGTTTTTATTACTTTTACACCATATCGCTAACATCCATTTGGACTGGAACACGTTTTAGTTTGATATGTTTTCATTTGTTAGACATACCAAATCAATTTTTAAAACTGTTTGAAGCATTATTGATTTTTTTATGCTAGTGACATTACTGTACAATGTATGAATTTGGTGTTTGATTCATTCGACGGATGGATGGACAATATGTTTTATGTAAAAAAATGATTGCATTTAAGAATCAAATTATATTCACTTACATACATAGTAACAACATATACTGTAAAAGGGATTTTTTTGCTGATTTCATAATTTGGCAGTTCTGGTATTCTGTGAAAAATACACTCAACAAATTTAATGGCAAATCAAATCCATCCCTACCCTAATATACCACTAGACCAGAAATCTTTGAAATATTGATCCCCCAAAGTAGACAATTTTAGCAAATCAGCGAAATTTAACCCTTTCACCCCTAGGTAACTTTAGTAGACTACCATTCATTGATCTGGATGAGTCCATTATGGTCTACAGTGTTGAATGGATTAAAGACTGAACTTTTTTTTTTCGCTTTTGTTAATGTTAGAACACTGTGTTGTTTATTGTCAAAACAACATTTGTCCAATATTTCATATTTTGGTCAAACCAATTTTCAAGATGTGATTTGGCTAAATGGTTAACACCAGCCTTCTCATAGTTGGCAAGGATTCTGTCCCCAATGTCTTCATTGTATGAAATGTTTTCAAAGGAAGCATTTTAATTTTTATTTCGCCCACACAATTCCAGTACCCCAAGTGGAACATAAAATGATCTGAGGTGTGTGCTAGTGTCTTTAAATGAGGTGAAACTATGGGAAAAAAATGCTTTTAAAAGCATGGTCCCATCACAAAACAAAACACCGTCCAATACACCTCTAGCACAACAACAGACACACACACACACACACACACACACACACACACACACACACACACAGGTTTTACCCCGGTGGCTAATAGGACCAATAGTATGTGTCTGATAAGGCAGCTGAGAGCTCCAGTGAGGTCCTTCATACTGTATAGAGCTACATAATGTAATTGGTTCTGTTGTTTAAATTGATTGTATGAAATGTATATCTGTATACCGCAAATCACAGTATCTAGACAGGGCACTGTATCAAATGTTTAGTGATACATGCAGAGACGTATATACCTCTCTGATACATGTAACGAAATCATGATATTTTTGTGTATTCAGACAAACATTTGAAATAACTCTGCAAGTATTTTTTAGTTTGAATTTTAATATTTTTGTCAATGTTATAAATAGACTGAAGATTTATATTTATCTATGTCCTTTGTTGAGGGCACTATATCAAAGGTGTTATGTAGTGATACTTTGTTGAGGGCACTATATCAAAGGGGTTTTGTATTGATACTTTGTTGAGGGCACTGTATCAAAGGTGGTTTTTAGTGATACATTGTTGAGGGCACTATATCAAAGGTGGTTTTTAGTGATACTTTGTTGAGGGCACTATATCAAAGGTGGTTTTTAGTGATTCTTTGTTGAGGGCACTGTATCAAAGGTGTTTTTTAGTGATACTTTGTTGAGGGCACTATATCAAAGGTGTTTTGTAGTGATACTTTGTTGAGGGCACTGTATCAAAGGTGGTTTTTAGTGATACATTGTTGAGGGCACTATATCAAAGGTGTTTTTTAGTGATACTTTGTTGAGGGCACTATATCAAAGTGGTTTTTTAGTGATACTTTGTTGAGGGCACTATATCAAAGGTGTTTTTCAATGATAATAACAATATTTACAATTTCTTTTCTTGTGTGTTTGTATTAAGCCAAAAATTTTAAATCCCTCTGCAAGTATTTTTTTTAGTTCGAATCGCATTCTTATTTGCAATTGAAGTTTGATATTTATTAATATTCGATGTTGACCACTTGCTGTCACAGAGGAGACAGCTCAAATTTACAAAGGACACTCAGCAACACAGTTAACTCGTTCACCCCTGAAGACACGTTTGAACTCTTCCAATTCAAAGGTTGGAATAGTTTATTATGAAATTTCAGGGGTGAATGAGTTAGAAGAGCCCTACGGATAGGGACACGGTTCAGAACCCTTTATTTGCTCTCTTGGCCTAAAGGACTTGTGAGCTTAAACTGTGGCGAGCTTAATGGCAAAGACATTGAAGGTCTGAATTAACAATTGCAGATCTGTCAGGTTTAACCTCTGAAATGTTACATTAAAAAACATTGACAAACCAGTTGGAATGGTCCCGTGCTGGTGGCTGAGAGTCAGAGTCAAAAAGGGGAAATACACAATACATTGCAATAAGTGACCATTTGATGGATTTCCTGTAGGTGAATTTCTGAATACAGATATATGATTGTGTTTGTATTGTTTATTTATATTTTAACCCAGGCATAATGTTGTTTGGGTGTACATGTATAATATGCAATAAAGTTTTATAAATATTACCACAGAAACAAAGTTTATCTTATCTTTTTACAAAGCAATGCATTGCAGATGATATTAATACCCTTGCAAAAGGAAGAGATCAGAAATGCTAAAAGTATAGAGCAACTGGGGGCCTGTATTCATGAAACCGTACTCATGCTCAAACATGCATTTTGTGCTCAAACTGACTTTCTTGTAACTCACTTAAATCATGTCAAACGATCAAAAAGTCAAATGTGAACATTGAAAACATTATTTGGCTTCAAGTCTTCAAGTTTTTCAAAATGATTGACATAATTATCTGTTTTATTAATAATTTACAAACGGTTCAAGAAATTGGGCTTGAGCACAAAATCCATCGCTTGAGCATGAGAACGGGTTCATGAGTACGTGCCCAGGTCTATGACGTCAACTATTCTAGTTATATAAATAGTAAAGATTGAAATTCTGAGAAAGCAACACAAACAATATTCAATAATAAATATGATGCAAAGACCTTTATCTAAATCTGCATCATCTTTTACCTCAGTTATAGTCCAAATTATTCTGACGTTTTATCGACTTTTTTTATATCGGTCTGGCGTCGATTAACGTCAGACGCCAAACGTCTTCTACACTATCGCACTTTCCTCCCCGACTTGACAGTCTGCATCCATTTTTCAAATAAGCTTACATGCGTGCAACATTCCGATCTCCCAGACAGACAGGGTCATGTACAAGCTTTGACATGATCTTTTGAGAAGCAAAGCTTTTCAGTGGTCAGGTCAGAAAAAATAAGCTTTTTCATGAATGATATTGCACTACACTGCCATGGTTACCATGAGCCCATCAATGATTACATTCGCTTTCTTTTTGATTGAGATCTAGAATAACCCTGCATGTGTTCAATGACCTGTACCTGGATCATTGATGAATGATACAAAACAGCAGTGAATTAAAAATGACAATGCTTTTAAGTTAATATTGCTGAAGCCAATGCCCGATGCAGCCACGTTGCCTATTCCAACCAATTCTGTGATAGTTTGTTCCCAGTTTTAATTTCGAGGTCATGGGTTCACAATTCCAGTCTTGCCGTGCATCTTTTTGATGCCTATTTGACCACATCCTCGATATCCAGGGGTTACGCTCACGTTCGCTCTGTGTAGAGAGCGAAAGTGAACGTAACCCCTGGATATCGAGGATGATGTGACCAATCCTATGATACATTTGCGAAAATACAAACTTTCAGTAAAGCACAGTATGGCTTCATTGAAGGCAGATCTACGGTCACAACTTCTAAAGGTCATGGATGAATGGACAGAAATCTTGGATCAAGGAGGATGTATCGATTTTATTTATTGTGATTTTATGAAAGCATTTGATAAAGTTTCCCATCGACAACTAATCCATAAACTGGTAAAGTAAGGAATATCGGGGAGGTTCTCCTCTTGGATAGCAAAGTAAGAGTCGTCGTGAATGGAGAAAAGTCGTCGGAATGGAACCATGTAATAAGTAGCATACCGAAAGGGTCAGTTTATGACCACTTTTATTTGTAATTTATATAAATGACATGCCTGATGTAACAAGACCCAGATGAGGAAGATTGTAAGATTTCACAACTGGATCTATTTTCTCTCCAAAAGTGGTCAGAGGCTTGGCATCTCCGTTTTCATCAAGACAAATGCAAAGTGGTGCGCGTGGGTCACTCCAATGTTAATCAAATGAAGAACACCGTTAAGGAAAAGGCAGAACTTAATCTTTGAAAGTTGTGAACTTCGAAAAAGATATCGTTGTCATCATAGACAATAAATTATCATTTGATAAACTTATATCTGAAAAGGTAAATAAAGCTAATTCCATTATGGGAGTTCTAAAAAGAACAATGGAATATATGAACTTGGTGAGTTTTAGGTTGCTATACACATATTTAGTTAGACCACACATTGAATACGCGAATCAGGTTAAGTGCATGGTGTCCTCGTCTCGAAAAACACATTGAAACAATAGAAATATTCAAAGTCGAGCAACAAAGCAGTTACATGTACCTGGCCTAAAAGACTTATCCTATAAGGAGCGGTTATAAAAACTAAAACTACCAGCACTAGCATATAGAAGATCCTTGGGATTCTTGTGTATGTACTAGAAAGTCTTAAGGTAAAACGTGTATTTGATCTAGAAGATCACGGTGATGAATAGTCCGAATTATTCTGACGTTTTATCAACTGTTTCATATCGGTCTGTCGTCGGTTAATCGACTACAGACCGATATAAAAAAAAAAGTCGATAAAACGTCAGAATAATTCGGACTAGGTGATAAAGTACACTATGGGTCAGTGTCGGGCTACCTCAGTCCAGTATTTCGATTTGTACAATATATAGAACGGAAAATGCCGCAAGTCCTTTCTGGGTTAACCTACGTGAATCTATAGATCGAGCTTTAGATATTTCTCCAAATCTATTAATAAATGGTGACTTAAAATGTAGATATGCTCAGAATTACCCCAATGCATATTTTGTCTGACATAATTTCGACATACATTTTTACAAATGTTATTTTCAGAACCAACTAGATTTGGCCCAGGTAGACAAACCCTTCTTGATCCGATCCTTTTATCTGACATGTTAAATAGCATTGATGCATCTGTAGTAAATATAGACAGAAATATAAGTGGTCATGACGGTAGTCTTGTTTATATTGAAATACCTTTTAATACGAAACCTGTTTTGAAGAGACACGTTTGGCTTTACAAACACGCCGATTTTAATAAATTTAACCAACTTATATCAAATCATGGTTGGGAGGGTGATTTTTCAATGTGTGATTCAATTGATGCAGCATGTGAAAGTTTTACAAAAACATTTTTAGTTTTTGCAAATATATGTTTTCCTTCTAAAAAAGTAACTGTGAGACCAGACGATAAGCCTTGGATGACGTCGGAATTACGTAAAAACATTAGAATAAGGGACCGTTTACGTAAAAAAGCTAGATTAAGAAACATTTTTGAAGATATCAAAATGTTCAAGACACAGAGAAATAAAGTTAATAATATGAAAAAGCATGCTCGTTTAAAATTTTACGATAGTGTTCATGGAATTAGTGAGCAATACTCTTCGACTGATGCAAGGTCGTACTTCAACCCTGGTAAAACAGAGGTTTTGTTTATAACTAATTCCGTAAATCTAAATGGTCAACTTGATCTTATCCTTGGTGGTGAATTTTTAAATTTTACTGAAACACATAAACACTTGGGTGTTGTTTTCAATTTAAGTGGGAAATGGTCTGATCATGTCAATTATGTTAACAATTCTGTGATGAAAAAGATAAATGTACTCAGGAAGTTAAAATTTATTCTTAATAGGAATACTTTGTTGAAAATGTATATCACTTATATTTTACCGGTGTTTGAGTACGCCTGTGAATTGTGGGATGGATGTACTTTTAACAAATCGGGATTATTTGAAAAGGCTCAAAGAGAAGCGATACGTATCATTACTGGTCTTCCGTCATATGCAAACAACTATTACTCCTTATTTTCTTAACGATCTCTTACCACCTACGGTTGCTTTTAACAATCCCTATCCACTTAGAAACAAAGATGATTTTATCGTTCCAGATCATAGACTTTCTTGTACACGCTCTTCTTTTTTACCATCTACATTACTTTCTTGGAACGGGTTGGACGTGGAAACATGATCTTCTCCTTCGCTTTTTACTTTTAAATCCGCTATTTCACATCCAGTTAATCAAAAAACACCATCCTTCTAGAGTTTTGGAGAAAGAAAATTTAATATATAGCATACAAAGATGAGGTACACATGTCGTCCGTTAAATTATGACCTTTTTAGAGTAAATCTGACCGAGAACTCTGAATGTATTTGTCGAAACCCCTGTGAGAATGCCAACCACTTCTTTTTCATTATATGTCCTCGTTGTAATATACAAAGACGTTCTCTTCTTTCAAATATCAGTGATTTAAATCTGGATGTTGTCATTGATATAAATTCACTGCTAATAGGAAATGAAAACCTGTCGGTAGAAGTAAACACTTCAATTTTTAGAAATGTGCAAAGTACATCAAATCCAGCCAAAGGTTTAGTTAATGTGATATGACATTAACTCATCATATTTATATCTGTTGTATTATTTCATTTATTGTATGAAAAAATGGCATTCATTTTGATCAAATTAGGCTATTTCTCAATTTATGTAAAATTTATTGTGGATAGGGCCTTTTTAATGTTGATATAACTTGTGCCTAATCCGTTTGCTTCATTTATACAATAAAATATGTTTAAATAAAAAAATAGAAGATCCCGTGGGGACATGAAAGAGGTTTACAAAATATTGTCCTGAAAATATGACTGTGGGCTCCAAGAACTTTCTTTTCCTGAGAATTTTCTTTAAAAATCATGTATATTTACAATTTTCCCCAATTTCCACCCACTTGGACCCCC